ATGGATACAGTAGCAAATTTTGTTGTCTAAGCGAGGAGCTGCTGGGTTTGCAGAATTGCAGAATATTTTGAAGTAACGGTTCTTAAGCCCAGTTAGTGTAGTAAATATTAGACGAAACAGAGCCTAGTGTTTCAAAAAAAGGAGGAGGATGTGGCCATTGCAGAAGAAGTTGTGGGTTTGACAGTGCAGGAAAGGCTAAGTTGTACTCTGTTATTTAATTTGTACGAGCAAGAAAGCAATCAGGAAGAACGGACGTAAGGAGTGAGCTCGACTGCAGTACAAGAGCTTGACTGGAAAGGCTAAAAGTAACAAGAAGATTGTGAGAGAAGCAAAACAAACAAACTGGGGATTTGTGTTAATCTATGTCGTAGCTACGTCATAATGACAAACTACTTTTGGTCACAGTCTTTGAACTTATTAGTGAGAGAATAACGATAATCGTCTCAATATAAGGAATAATGATCATAGCATCAGTATAAGTATCAGCAAAAACGTGGGCCACTTATTTAGGTTATGCCACAAACCTCACCTGGCTCAGTGCCGAAGTCTGAATCCAGCATAAGTGTTACAGACTTGTGAAAAAGGGCAGCTTTCCACAGGTTTCCTTGAAATTCCATTTGATACTTTCAGTGTAGTTTGCAACTTGAAATTGTTCCTTAAATTTGGATATTTCAAAAGGTTTTTTTATGTGTTTGGTTGTTTTTACATAACATACATTTGGCTGTATCGCTAAAAGTTCATGCAGTTGTTATCAGTGGTACTGATTGTATTGATGTTGGTAAATGCTATTCTGCCATTTCTGTTTTTATGTTCACACACAGAAAATCACACAGATGCATTTTATTTTGTATGTGTTCGTTTCTCTTTTTTAATGTTCTGTCTTTCTGTCTGTAGTTGGCGCTGAAGCACAGACAGGGCAAAAACCACAAGATGCGTATAATTGCGTTTGTTGGCAGCCCAGTGTGTGACAACGAAAAAGAAGTAAGCCAAACTCTTGTTATTAGTTATTATTATCTTATTAGGGTTCATGTATTGCTCAAAAAGTGTTGCTTTCCCCCACCTTGGTTAAGATAACCAATGAGAAGACTTGCAGCTGTTTCAGACTAGCATCTGGAAAGCAATCAGTTTATTACAGTTAACTGAGTTTACTCTGAAATCACTTGTTGGACGGCAGTGTCGTATCTTAAGGTTACGAACGACGTCACAAACTTGACATTACTATCTCACAGCATGCAGGCCACAATCTCAACGTTACAGCATCGGTTGAATTGTTTACAAAGGAAATGTACCTCACAGAGCGATTCTGTTGCTTTAAAGAACATAAAGTCTTCAAATCTTGGCCTGGGAGCTGAAGCTGCTTCAACAGCTTCTTTAGTATTGCTGTTTCCTTAAACAGACACCAGTTTGTTAGCTAAGTGGTCTCTGATGTCAATGTTGAACTTATAAATGTATGACGCGCCTGATAAATTAGTGTTTGTTTTAACTCAAGTGTTTCTCTCTTTTTGTAGTTGATCAAAATGGCAAAGCGTTTGAAGAAAGAAAAGGTCAATGTTGATGTCATTAACTTTGGAGAGGAGGTATTTTTATTTTTTTTAACCTTCTGAGCTTATAACCCACTCAAACATTTTTTTACATGCACCCCTTAACTTCTGCTCTGCCCGCAGGCGATGAACACAGAGAAGCTGACAGCCTTCATCAACACGCTGAATGGCAAAGAGGGAGCAGGTTCCCACCTGGTCACAGTACCCCCGGGTCCCAGTCTTGCCGATGCCCTGCTGTCCTCACCCATTCTGGCAGGAGAGGGTGGTGCCATGTTGGGTCTGGGTGCCAGTGACTTTGAGTTTGGAGTAGATCCCAGTGCAGACCCTGAGCTGGCTTTGGTGAGTGAACACAGGACACAATTTTTGTTTTTGTTTGTATAGTTTGTGCAGTTTAATATAGCCGCAACTTTTTGTGACTACATTAAAAGTTCTTCAAATGATTTATTTTAGGCTACGTCCACACGTACACGGGTATTTTTGAAAACTGAGATTTTCCGTTTTCGTTTTAAAAAATAATCCCGTCCACACGTAAAGGCAGAAATGAAGGAAAACGCTGCTATGAACATGCCAAAGCAACAGGTGGCGATATATTCCTAACCATGCAGAAATGTTGGCCAATCAGAAGTCTAGAAGCCTCGGTGGGAAATAGTAAACAAAGCTGGGGCATAGAAGCAGAACAGAGTCGTATGTGTGGAGGGACAGTAACTGTGTGTAAGCATTTAAACACTGCAGAGAGTACAATTAACAGTATTGTAGAAATTCATTTCACCGAAACAATAACGTGGCGCACAGTGTGACGTCAAAAAATGCGCACACCTTTGACGCTGCGTTTTTCTCAGTTTTTCTCGTCCATACGTAAATGCAAAAACAGAGTTTTCAAAAATATCCACCCTGGCCGGAGTTTTTAAAAATCTCAGTTTTCAGTGACCAAAAACGCCGTTTACGTGTGGAGGAAAGGTGCAAATGCATAGAAAAATCTGCGTTTTCAAAAATACCCGGGTACGTGTGGACATAGCCTTAGTCTTTCTTCATTATATTTTCTGCCTTTTCTTTGCTTTTTTCTGCACAGTTGTAAGACTCAACGTGTTTCATTAGGAAGTAATTTTTGTTTTGTCTCCTGCTCTTCTCACTAGGCTCTGCGTGTGTCCATGGAGGAGCAGAGACAGCGACAGGAGGATGAAGCTCGCAGAGCCGCTGTTGCATCAGCTGCTGAAGCTGGCATTTCCTCCCCAGCTGCAGATGGTGAGAAAACATTGTATTCATAGATGCCCATTGCTGCCTGTTTTCCCTCAGTGACAAGTGATCTGAGTGTATACATGCAACATATTCTTTTTTTGTCTGCTTCAGAGTCTGAGGATGCCTTGCTGAAGATGTCTGTTCCACATACAGACTCAGCCACACCTGCCCTACCAGACTTTAGCCGCATGACAGAGGATGAGCAGATCGCCTATGCTCTGCAGATGTCCATGCAGGGAGCAGGAGCAGGTTTACCTACATTTTTTTTCTTCTTCTTTTACTACAGCCAGTCAGCAAATTATTTATAGAGGGTTCATAACTTATAAGTGCTCTGTATATGTTACGTGCATAATTTGTATTAACTTGTATCTAGAGTTCACCTGTAAATTTGGGGTGAAAAAATGGCTACAGCGCTGGATTACTGTACGAAAATACCAAAATACCAGATTTGGCTTGTAGGTCATCAAGTCCCCAAAGAGTTTTAGTTAGATATTTATGAAGGTAGTGTTAATGTACAACTTGGGTATAACTTGAGCTAACTGGTGGGAAAAATTCTAATTTTAGACCTTTTTTAAAAATTGTTTTTCCTATTAAAAATTTCAGGTTAAAACAACTACAATTACTTCCAGTCCCCTTTTTGTTATGCACAGACATCACTGCTTTCATTTGTTCTGCAGAGTTTGGTGCTGAGGACATGGATACAGGTGCTGACATCGACTCCAGTGAAGCTAAGGTGAATATAAGCAACTGTGGTTTGAAATCAAAGTTTTCATCACACTAAAAACAAAAACCTTTATATATTTATTTCTTTATTTAAAAACCTCTACTCAGGATGAAGAGGATTATGATGTTATGCAGGATCCGGAGTTCCTCCAGAGTGTTTTAGAAAACCTTCCTGGGGTCGACCCCAACAACGAGGCCATTCGTAATGCCATGGGCTCTCTAGCTTCCCAAACGGGCTCTAAACCCGATGCCAAGAAGGACGAGGAGAAAAAGAAATGAGCATAATGCACAGTGTTATAAATAAAGGATGAGAATTGCCCTGTGTGTGTCATTCACCATAGCGTCATTATTCTCCTCAGAACAGGAAACAGTTTGTTCACCTTTTGTTTATATAGCTGTGTAAACTCTAAACATTTGCCTTTTTTATGTACTTATCTGATGTTAACCCTTCTGTGTTCAGGACTTGTGTTATCTTGATTTTTTTGTTTTTAATGTAACTAAGTTACATGGTTACATGGACAGATTTCCTCAATAAATTTCCAGAATTCAAAAGTTTATTTACAGTTTTTAATTTCCTTGCACAAACTAGAAATAAATGTTGGCCTGATACTTGCATACACTTCCATTTAAGAATATAATTGAAATATTTATTTATTTATTGTACAACTTATTAGTACAGGTTGGATTCCCTTTTGCAGGAAACATTCCTCAGAGATTTTGGTCCATATCAAAATGATCACACAATTGCTGCAGACTTGTAAGCTTCACATCCATGATATCAATTCCGCATCGGTGCATTGCCCTGCTGGAAGCAGTCGTCAGAATGGAAATGTTGGGGTCATAAAGAAAATATCCAGCTCATCAGACCAGGCAACGTTTTTGAATCTGTGCTTCAATTTTAGTGAACCTGTATGAATTGAAGCCTCAGTTTTTTGCTCTTAGCGGACAGGAGTGGCGCCCAGTGTTGCTGCTGTTGCCCATCTGCTTTAAGCTTTGGCATGTTCTGTCTTTAGAGGTACTCTTCTACATATCTTAGTTCTAAGGATTGATCATTTCTGGTGTTGTTGCTTTCCTACAATCCCAAAGAAGTCTGGGCACTCTGACATCAACAAGACATTTTCACTCAGAACAGCGGCCCACTGTGAACCCTATGATTGTGCGGTAAATCTTAGTAGGTCAGCAGTTTCTGAAATAACATTACATTTCTTCCCCAACCTAATGGTGGGGTCGAACTCCAGCGGGTCGTCTTGAACCTGTCTACGTGCCTACATGCATTTAGCCGCTGCCATATGATTGGCTGATTCGATATTTACGATAACAATTACCCGAACAAGCACCTAATGGACTGATGATACTGTATGTTAAAATGCTGTGAATCACATCATAGTGTGTAAATAAGACGAAGTCGATAACCTAATTATTTTTTAGTTGTTTTCTTTTGTGGGAGATAACAGAGGGCACTTTCTGACGTCTGCGTTTTATTTGGTTCAGTAGCTCACCGTCGCATTTGATGACGCAAACACGTATGACACCAAGTGCAAAGTGAGGAACCAACTTCGCTAACTTGCAGGTAACATAATTAAATTACAGTTCTCGTGTCCTCTTTAATGCTAGCACACTTAACACGCAGCGGATAAGATGGATTAGAGCCCGCATACTCGAGTGCTGCACTGCTCCAGTTATTTGGACTGCTTAAGGAGAGTTGGTGTGTTTTCATTAGGAAGGCCAGCTAGCAGGTAACTGCTAAAGTAGCTAGCTGTTAGCAGTAGCACACACTTGTTGCAAAACGACTGTGAAGTTTGACTTGATGGTGTGGGAATTGTGCAGTAGTTTCAGTGTTTTCCTTTTTTAAATGTGCTGTTCTGCACCGGTAGAGTCTCTCCTCTTGGAGTTTTTCTTTGACTAACCCCTTTTCACGCCAACTGTTTTCGATTTTAGTCAGCGTAAACCTGCAAGCTGTTGTGGACAAAACAGAAGTTTGCATGTTTAAAGCAAGTAGAAATGGTATCCCAAATCTTTGACCAAAAGTTTAACGCTGGTTTGGATTTAATTGCTTTATACTTTTGAGATTCTGAAGTGAATACGTACAGTCAAACCATGCAATCATATAAATGTGTAATTTGGACTTGGTGATATTGAGATATGTGAAGTACAGGTAAGTGTTTATACGCTTTTTATTGTCTAGAAGAGCAGATAATTCATTCATTAAAATTGCAATCAAACTTTGGTCAATACTTTAAGCGCATACACTTCGACCACTTCATTAGGTACATCCGTTCTACTGCTCTTTTATGCAAATAGCCATCTAGCCTCTCACGTGACAGCACTCAGCACACAGAGGCACGCGGACATGTTCAGTACGACCTGCTGAAATTCAAACTGAGCATCAGAATGAATTGATTTAATAAGTGACCTAGCATGTAGCGTGGTTGATGGTGTTAGACAGCATGCTCTGAGTATTTTAGATGATCTGATTTGCTAGGATTTTTCCGCGCAAAAGTTAAACACATTTGGACAGTGAAGGAATGTCAGGGTTCTTGCTCAGAAAAAGGATCAACATGCTCTGAAGTCAGAGCACAAAAACCTTTTTTGTAACAAAATATCGATTTCTGCTGTCCCTGTATCGATACATTATTAGCAAACAAAATATCACGATACTACACAGAACCATTTTTTCCCCCCCACCCCTAGAATGTATGCGGAAGAGCATCTCTGAGTGCACAACAAACTGAACCTTGAAGCAGGTAGGCTACAGCAGCAGAAGACCACTCTGAGTGCTGCTCTGTCGGCTAAGAAAAGGAAACTGAGGCTAAAATCGACCACCAAAAATGGACAACGCATTAGAAAAATGCTGTTTGCGTCAATATTTAGTTGGTTGGGTCAGAATTTGAGCTAAACAACATGAAAGCATGGATCCATCCTGTCCTGTATCAGCAATTCAAGCTACTGGTAGTGGTTTAACGTTATGGGGGATATTTTCTTTATGCCCATCTGTTGGTGGCTGCCTCCAGTAGGACAACCACTCAGATCATCTCAAACTGGTTATTGAGCAGGATGGGGAGTTCACTGTGCTCAAGTGACCTCCACAGCCAATCTCAATCTAATAAAGCAACTTTGGGATGTGGTGGAACAGGAGATTCAAATCATGGATGTGCAGCTGACGAATCTGCAGCAACTGCAGATTTCTTTTATTTTATTTTTTTACTTTACTGGGAGTAACTGGTGAAACAAATATCACATATGGGATTTTTCTGGTGGCAGTGCATTTGGTGGTTGAGATTTAAAAACAATAAAAATTCCAGAGAGTATTACACATAATCTGTAGCTTTTACATGGACATTATACAACCAACACAAAGACCTTAGAGGCATCGAAGCACTGCCAACAACCACTTTCCTGTTTTTCTCCCTTTTTGGTAAAGAATTCTGCGTAAAATGTTCAAAAAGGGTACAGAAAACAAAGAAACCTTCAGTATTAAAAAAAACAAACAAGCTGTATTATTTTTTTTCAGCTGAATGCTACGTTTAAATGCTTTAAACTTTCATTTTACCAGAATTAAAGTTACAGTTTAATGTGGATTAGGGGTATATGTGGAATCTAACAAACACTTAGGGATTCTCTTCTGATTAGTAAATATAGAACATGCAGTTTATTAGAATTTTATAAGGAGCAGCTTTATCAATGTATATTAATATATATTCATCTTCATAAATGTGTAACCTTTGTAGTTTATCTGTGTCAGCTTGTCCTGACTAAATTAATCAGTTGTTCCAACTCATTTGTTTCTTTAATTGGTTTTTCTTGCAGTGGCAATGGGGGATATGAAGACCCCAGACTTTGATGATTTGCTGGCAGCGTTTGACATTCCTGACATTGACGCCAATGAGGCCATTCAGTCCAGTCCAGACGAGGAACGGGATGAGGCCCGGACTAACGTTCATGGGAGAGAGAGTGGATCTCCTTCAAGGTTTGCCGACCCTCCTGCCCCTCAAAGCGAGCCTCCTGTAGTCAGTGTTATTGTTAAGAACACAGTGCGGTCAGAGTCTTTTGAAGAGGAAGAGAAGTCTGCCAGGGATAAAACAGACAATCCTTCAAGCAGTGCCTTAGCCTCTCCTGTGCACGTTAAGTTGGATGACATCACTTCACAGCTTTGTCCCAGACTCCCCTCCGAGTCTGCTGTGGAGGGCGAGACGACTAATGGCTTTGAGGAATCTCCCTCCAGCCGGCAGGGACAGTCTAGCACAGAAGCATGGCACCAGGCTTCACCTCTGAGGTCCACACTGAGTGAAAGTGACAGTGAAACCGATAAAAGGCCTGAGCCTGGATCTTCCCAGCATGTGGTTGATGTTATGAACAGTTTAAGGCCCCTTCTCCACCTCAAGTCGCCAACCGCTGGTGTTCCCACCCCATTATCTCCTCCTTCCCCAGCCTCTGTCAGTGATCACCTTTCTCCTCACTCCCCTCAGCAGGATGAAACCTGTCTCAGAGATAATACACTATCATCACCGTCACTACAAAATGACAGCATGGAAACCGGAATCAAGCATGTTATGCACACAGATGAAGATGACTCAGAACCAGAGCTGGTGATCCAAGAGAGCCCAGAATCTGTAATGGCCCCACCTCCTAAGTTTAAATACAGAGCAAAATTACCACCTACTTTTCTTGGGTCTCCTGAAACGAGGCCTTCTGATCCTCCTAAGCTCACTTTTTCCAGAAAACCAAAACCCCAACACGAGGAGGATGGGCTGCCTACCACACCAAGCTCTCCACCCTCACCTCAAAGTTCCCAGGACCGCCTCCCACATGTTAGCACCAGCTCTTCATCAGTCCAAGAGGAGAAATACCCAGAACATGTGATTGATGAGAGGGAGTCGCCTGAGAGCCCACCACCCAGTGAGACAGGGTTTTTACTCCAAAATAGAAGCAGCAGCCCTGATCCCGGCTCAACAACAGCTCTAACTGCAAACCATGACGAATTCCACCATCAGGAGGAGCACATGGAGAGTGAGGACTGTCAGCAAGACAAGCCGGGTAACAGTGAAGGAATGGGTGAAAAGGTGGATGGGGAAAATTTAGACACGGAGAAGTGTGATGCTGACACTGAGGATGCTGCAAGCGCCACAGAGATGGTTTCACCTCCACTGCGACCACTCAAAGTTAAAATCAAAATGCCCACAGGCAGCATCACAAGGACTGTCACTGGTGTGGTGCCTAAAAGAAGCGGAAGAGCCACCAGTAAGGGTGTGACTGCTCCAAAACCATCACCACAGCGTCATAACACAAGAGCCAAAAGGGAGTTACCGCAAGAAAGTCAGTTGACTGCAGTGGAGATGCTGCAGGATGCTTGCGCTGCCACACTAGAAGGTGCGAGTACAGTTAGAGAGAAAACCCCCGCTGACGCCAGGCCTAAAGTTTCCCCCACAGCAGTGAACATCACAAAAACTGCAGCTCTGCCCTCTATTACTACCTCCTCCTCCAGAGTCAGTGCGAGTACAGGCAACCTGCGCACCCTGGGCCAAAAAACTCTCAACAGTGGGGTGACACTACCTGCTTCTTTACCTCTGCTGCCCCCTCAAAGCAGCAGCAGGCCAGCATCTATAGTCAACAGCACTGGGGCCATCATATCAAAGAGCCAGACCAACTTAGTGGAAGCCTTCAACAAAATCCTGAATAACAAGAACCTGCTGCCCATTTATAAACCAAATCTGAGCGCCCCTCTTCCTGCAGAGTGGGGCATTTCTCTACCTGCGCAGGTAAGCTCTCTTAGAAATTAAAGAATTAGTTGGTCAGCAGCTAAATGAAGCATTTGATATTTTTGTAAATCATTCGAGGTCAATAAGCTAAGTCTAAAAGCGGAACTCAGTTCTGCACAGTATTAATTTGATCTCTTTTATAAATGGTAAATGGCCTGTATTTATATAGCGCTTTTACTAGTCCCTAAGGACCCCAAAGCGCTTTACATATCCAGTCATCCACCCATTCTCACACACATTCACACACTGGTGATGGCAAGCTACATTGTAGCCACAGCCACCCTGGGGCGCACTGACAGAGGCGAGGCT